TCGCCTACACCGTGAAGGGACACGGCACATAAAATAAAAATTTGAATGACGGTAAATTGACCCCTATTTCGCATGTCTCTCCTTACCAAGCGAGGAGTAAATCCCAATGGACCACCTTCAAGACATTATCTCTGCTAATAACATTGTCGATAGCCATTAATGTTCATGGGATTGATAGTGAAGCAGTATTCTGTTGTTTTCTGTGATTTTATCGAGACACCATATCTAATTAGTGATCTGTTAACTCATTAAGTGTTCCTCCTCCCTTTGATAAGATTTACTTAGAGTTGCTAACTTCACTCGTAATTAATTGGAGTGGGAAAGCTGGTTTAGTCGTCGACCATCAGAAAAAAAGATTTTATGTACATCTAAATTTCAACTTAAACTAAGTTCTAAACAGTATTTTTTTCGTAAATTCAAAGTAACCTCATATCTTGAGTTTTTTCGATTCAATTTTTAAAAAATGAATTAAATAAACACGATTCAGATTGAAAGAATCACAATACTGGTTTCATAACTTTGAATTTAAAGAAAAAAAATAACTATCTTTGTATCCATTATTCCTTTCACTTCGTGGTCACGCACTTCCACACTTATGGTTTAGCGTCATCTGACCGGAGTGAGAGACGGAGTTTTATGATGGAAACGGATGACGATAAAGATATAAAACTCTTTATCAGGTGCGGTGAAATAAGGATTCGGGATTCTCGTAGTGAGGTCATTAACGTCGGCTGGATTTGAAATTTAACCAAAGAGAAAGAAAACAAATATCAAACACTGACGAAGGCTGCAGAAGTATCCGAAAATTTTGTAATTTCCAAAAACTTAAATAAAAAAAAAAACGAGAAATATGCAAATAATATCTTTGTCTTCACTTTTTTAGATAGATAGATAGATAGATAGATAGATAGATAGATAGATAGAGAACGTGTGAGAGATCATTGCATCTATCGAAAAACAAAACTTAATCACCTCTCCACTGCCGTAAAGTTGCCTCCCTCTGCCTTTTCTATAAATACTTTCTTTGTAATTGTTTGGATGAACTTTCGGTGCAATGGAATTTAATCGCCTAGACTCTTTTACAGCGAGAATTTAAGGTTTGCAGTAAAAAAAATGCCAAGAAAATCTGGCCTTCTCGAGGAACGGCCGAAGGTCTCAGCCTTTTCTATAAATTTTCTTTGTTATTGTTGAGACGGGTTATATCTAATTTAAGCCAGTAAGTTCTAGGAGGTAACAGTTTCTTTTATATCTCGCAACAGTTTCCTCTCGCTTGTGGAAACCCCCCACTCCGGCGCCATGCTTTCCAGCCAACTTTAATCTATGGAACACGCCTGGATATTTTGGTTCGTGAAATAAAAACATATCAAGAATATCTACAATAGATTTGATTTGGTTATCAGTGGATATTTCACAAAAAATAGCAGATCAGATATAGTCTATGCTTCAAATTTGTGAATGACGAGGCCGCCAAATTTTTCTTGAATTGTTTAAATCGTTAAATATCATTTGAAAGTAGGGCTAGTTTCTGTTTGTTCATGTTCCTGTAGATGTATGCTTGTGTAGGCGGGATTGGGAAATTGCTTAACGGATGATTTTTAATTGTGCAACAGACAAATTCTCGCAATCAATATTTGAGAAATCCGAATTAGACTCGTTACTAATGTTGATATACTCTCCTGTAGGTTATTTAAGAGCAAAAGAGAGATGTAGGTTTAATGTTAATAAAACATTCATGGGCTGTTGCTATTTTTTTAATGAAGGGAAGCCTCGTGTGTCATTACTAAAACAGACTCGAGAATGACACTACACCCGCCCCCCCCCAAAAAAAAAATGACTAACTCTTATGGACAAATCAGTCTCCTGATATGAACCACCATGGAACCCTTGGGATACTTTGGTTCATAAAAGGAAATGTCAAAAAAATCTGGCGTATCGGCTTCAGTCACTTTCCAACTGCCGTAAAGTTGCCATCCTTTGCCTTTTCTATAAATACTTTCTTTGTAATTGTTTGGATGAGCTGTTCACAATGGTGCTTAGATTCTTCGAATTTAAGCGCAGTACTAAACTGGCGAGGAGGTCCCATCAATTTACGGCTGAGAAGGCTAGATATAAAGGTTTGTTTCATAAAAGAAAATATCAAGAAATCTGACGTCTCGGCTTCAGTCTCTTTCCAACAGCCGTAAAGTTGCTTCCCTCTGCCTTTTCTATAAATATTACTTTTTAATGGTTCGGATGAGATGTTCGCTATGGTGCTTAGACTTCGAATTTAAGCGCATTACTAAACTGGCGAGGAGGTCCAATCAATTTACGGCTGAGAAGGCTAGATATAAAGGTTTGGTTCATAAAAGAAAATATCAAGAAATTCTGGCCAACTTTAATCTAAAAAAATTTAAATTCAATATCAATCGCTTCCTCCTGATTACTTTTTCGTCTTCTTACTCATTATTAATGCTTCTGTTTCTAATTCATCCACACTCAGTAACCCCTTGTATCTTAGTGGCTTTATTGCCTTACTTGAGGAACTCCATTCCGGCTCCATGCTTTCCAGACAGCTTTAATCTGCAAAACTGTAAATGCAATGCCAATCACTATCTACTGTCCTTTTGATTACTCTTTCTTCTTCCCGCTCATTATTAATATTTCTGTTCCTTAATCTTGCAAAAACTTTAACCCCCTTGTGTTTTAGTGGCTTTAATGCCTTACTTGTGAAACTCCCTTCCGGCTCCATGCTTTCCTGCCAACTTTAATCTGCAAAAATTAAAATACAATATCAATCGCTATCTACTTTCCTTCTGAGTACTCTTTCCTCTTCCCGCTCATTATTCATGTTTCTTTTCCTAATTCATCCACACCCAGTGTCTCAGTGGCTTTACTGCCTTGCATGAGGTGATACCGATGAATAAAAAAGATATTTTACCCCCCCCCCAAATTAAAGGCATTAATTCTTATCTTTTTAATACACGCGTGTGTACGCGTGTTGATACATAAAGTTGATACGTATTTTAATGTGCGTTGTCTGTAAGCGTGAGTATATGTGCTTATGATATTCTTAATATGTGCGTTTGCGTTCTATTTTTCTTTGTGCGTAACTCCATGCACGTACGCGTTTATGGTGTCTTTCCTTACCGTATGCGTTCGTTATGCAAGTGTGTACGTTTTTCATTGTATTTAATTCTGTGACTACACACACGTGTACATCTCTCACTTTATTTCTCTCTCACTCTCCCTATCTCACTCATTCTATATCACTATCTCTCTCACTCTCTCTCACTCTCTCTCTCTCACACACACAAACGCACTCTTTCTCTCTCTCTCTCTCTCTCTCTCTCTCTCTCTCTCTCTCTCTCTTTTTGTGTATGTGTGTGTGTGTGTGTATTCCGGCTTTTCTCCCCCTCAGTCTCTCTCCACGATATCCCCTCAATTATTTTTTCTACAAAATCCTCTGAACCCAATTCTCAGACGACCCCCTTTTTTTTCCGTTCTCGCTTTTTCAACCAACGCAATATCCAAACTAAACTCTCTCCAGCCAATTTTGCCAGACAAGCGAAATCTTGCGAAAGGCGTCACGCGAAAGATTCGGTTAAACGTGAGGAGAAACAGAAAAATGAGATTTGCAAGTTGACGAGATTAGAACGAGATTTGCAGTGTTTTGCTTCTTATCCCTTTTTTTTTATTTACTTACTACTTGGCTTTACAGTTTAAGGCATTTACATCGAATGACGAATAGAAAATCATGAATATTTGCAAAAGTAAGAAAACCGTAAAAAAACGCGCAAATATTTAAGACTCGTTGTTATTTATATTTCAAAAATTAATAAAATTAAAGGAAAGCTCTAAAAATGAATGAACTATAATAGGAAAAAACAGTTATGTAAATATATTCAGCTTTCGTCAACTTTTCAAATTTTAGAAGAGAAAACAAGAAATGCACGTTTTTATGCACAAATGATGCATAACAAAACAAATTGTGAAACGCAACAGCTAATATTAAATCGACAAATAAAAACTGATTCAATTAAAAAAAAATGATTAGATTAACTATCAAAATAAAAAATAATGTTACCAAAGGAAAGGAAAGATTAACACAATATAAAATTATGTTTGTGTATGATTATATATCCTTACGCCGTTGATCATATTATTATAGATTTTATACTTGACGCGTGGTGAGACTACTTGGATAATACAAATTAACAAAAGTAAGGCTGGAAGAAAATGCTACGCATATTGTAGCGAACCGCCTTCATTCCCTTCATTTCTCCTAGGTGAGATGTATGCTCTACTCGAACAGCTTCTTTATCATTAGTTTCTGGAGCCGACTCCTAAAGAATGCTTGCCTCCTAACAACAAGCTTAACATGAAAAATGATTATTATTTCTATTTTATTTTCTACACATCGTTATAAAATCTACCTTTCACCCATCACTCTGTAACCTCGAATGGCTCTTGGGACTTGTACATGGTGAACATTATTGTTAACAAAAACGTTGAAAATCCGTGATTCGGGTTGAAACAATGAAATCAGTCATGGCTGATCATATATGGAAGGAAAAGGGTAGATATCAACACTGTGGAATAAAGGAAAATTAATGGACAGGCAGGAACAAGAGACATCTAAAAGAATCGGCGCATATACTAGACTGTGAGAATCTCCTTAGCAGGCCTAGTATAGAAATAAATACAATCTGGGAGTAGTTAATAAGGAAGGGAAGTGGAACAGTAAAGCTTCAGCTGGGCAGAAAAAAGAAACATCGATGAATCCAGTCAAACTTTGGTTGGTGAATTTGGTGACACAATAACTGTGTTCAATCCCTGAAGAGGGTAGAGCTCAATTGGACTCAGTGAAAACAATGCGATCAATAATTGAACAATAGTAAATGAGAACTAGACGAGATATCCCGAGATATGGCCAGCAGGAACGATAAAGAGTTTAATTCGAAATTCCCTGAAGGGTACGCCGATCGATAAGCATCTGATGAAGGCCGGTCGGAACAGCGCTGTGATAACAACAGCAAAAATAAGTCAAATATCAGTTATGTGTCATGCGTGATATACGCTTAGGCGATCATGTATTTTTCGATACATGACTGACGAGGCAGATTTTTTTCCTAATGTAGGTTGCATTTCTTTCTGCGGTAGACTAGTTGCCATCCATGGCTATAGAACCCGGTCTGTTTTTCTTTTTTCCCATAGCTGGGGTGGGGGGAGAAGAAGAGGATTCATACCTTTCCCAAGGGTATTAGCACGTAAGTGAATGTAATGGATTCGGCTGGAAAGTCAGTCAGTCAGTTATGTGCTATGCGTGTTACACGCTTAGACGATCATGTATCTTTCAATACATGACTGAAGAGGCAGATTTTTCCAGAAGTAGGTTGCCATTTCTTTCTGCGGTAGACCAGTTACCATCCCAGGCTATAGAACCCGGTCTGTCCTGCTATTTATCCATAGCTGGGTAGGGAGAAGAAGAGGATTTATACCTTTCCCGAGTGTATTAGCACATAAATGTATGTAATGAATTCGATTGGAATTCGACCTCGGCTCTCCAATTCCTCAATCCGAGACGCTATTCATTACTCCACCGTGCCTCAACGTATTGCATGCAAATAACTTAAATAAATGCAATTCATATCGAGTTACGCCCTATTGCGATGAAAAATTGATCAATGACGGCTCGAAACAGGTAGTATTTTCCATCGATAATACGCATTAGTTTAAAGCAGAAATAGTTATGTCCACCTGATTGCAAGATAATAGATTAAGACTGTATTGATTACCTATCAATTGTCAGAGATGGAGTGCTGATGAACACTGGCATGTCAAAATCTATAGCATCAGCTCATTCAATCGCTCCAGAAAGTACATGATACCTTTTGTTATTTGATAAATTAGACACAAAATGGTATATTGTTGGCATATATTGAACTGAGCTAGTTAATCCACATTTTCAAACCTTAAAATAGTGTACATATCTATGGGCTTCCCGACCAAGAGACCCGGCTTCGAATTTCATCGTGGTTGATTTATCAAGAAGATGACATCTTGATGTTATCAACCTGGGGGTGGAGGCGATCCCCGCGAGCGTCACCTCTTGAATGTGCCTGAAAACCATACCACGGATTGCGGCTGAAATTGGATAGATGGAACTCTTTGGAAGCCGTCGATAGTTGTAGCGAGCCCGAAGTCGCAAGTCATCATGACCGAGTTTTTGGGAGTAATAGCTCTGTTCAAACTGTTGGTTACACCTGATTGGCGCTCTTTCCCAGAACCTGTAACAAAGGTCTGCTCAGCACAGTTGCAGTATAAAACACAGGTGGGCCATGTGGGTGTTGGACAAACATAAATATGTCGCCCTAGTAGAGAGGCATACTCGGATACGAGGATTTGTCTTTTGGGTGACGAATTTCCCATAGGCGAAATCCTATCCTCTACTCTATCGCTATTTCCATGGCAAATGTTCAAATGACATCTATCCTTTAGTTCCACAAGTTTAAACTCTTACAACTAGGAAAATAGACGGGTTTTATTATTTTACTGTATTCTAATAGATAGATAGACAGACAGACAGACAGACAGATAGATAGATAGATAGATAGATAGACAGATAATGAATAAACGAATAAATTCAGATAGATAGATAGATAGATAGATAGATAGATAGATAGATAGATAGATAGATAGATCGAATCAGAATGAATTCTACACTGTTTCGATAAGTGACAAATTAACCTACGAAAGTGTGTAGTGTTAGTGTGACCAATGTATGAATCTAGTGTTAGCAATTCGTATACATATTAATCATCACATCAAAAACAACTGAAATACAACCATAAACTTAACATAAACATTAGCAGATAATATCAAAATAACTATGCAACACCCATTCAAAACAAAAAAACAAAAACTCAAAGCTCTCGAAACTAAGACTATACAAAAGAAACGTGTGTGCTACGCCCAAAAAGTTATGCCTTGGCTGTTATGTCTGTACAAGCTGACACGGGAGTGACAGTCTTGAATGTCTGTGAAGACACTCTTTCCCTAGAGAACGCTTCACCCCGGCGGTAAACCTCCGTTCCTTCTCTCCTTGCTCCAGCGATGCAATACAGCCTTGCCACCGGCATGATTGCAATTGAGGTGACAGGATGAAGGCCTGCCTTAGGTAAAAAGGCGCCATTAAAATAAAGTACCGATCACCAAATTGTGCTCATCTTTGTCACCATATTTATTACAACGTTTCGGCTGTTCTACACTCCGCTTTCTTCAGCTTGTTGGAATGTCGAACTGAACCCTTTATTTCGCTCACTGGGGTAAACTGTTCTAGTTCCACGTGCCATGTTTAACGGATGTCAGTTATCAGTTATCTCCTGTTAATTTCCCTCTGAAAGTTCTCCACTGCCTTGAACAAGTATTGAACTCACACTCTTTGGGTCCTGTCACTGGATCTAACTAACGCTTTTATCCACTGTGCCATAAGTGGCCATCGACGTATGAATTTCTGGGTATTATAAACCTAATGTCTTCAGCGATCTTTTTTTTTTACCAGTGCTCATATTGCAATTTTTGCTGTTATCAATTCATGTTTTTACCAGAGCTCATATTGTAATTTTTGTTGTTATTATTATGAAGTGTTGGCTTTGTCAAAAGTATGTTATATTATTTTCACTATTTACATTATTCGGACAATTGTCCTCATCTTTGTCGCCATATTTATTACAACGTTTCGGCCGTTCTACACTCCGGCCTTCTTCAGCTGGTTGGAATGTCGAACTGAACCCTTTATTTCGCTCACTGGAGTAAACTGTTCTAGTTCCATGTGCCATGTTTAACGGATGTCAGTTCTCAGTTATCTCCTGTTAATTTCCCTCTGAAAGTTCTCCACTGCCTTGAACGAGTATTGAACTCTCACTCTTTGGGTCCTGTCACTGGATCTAACCAATGACTTTATCCACTGTGCCATGTGTTCTTGAGGACATCTGAGAATTATAAACTTAATGTCTCCAGCAACCATTTTTACCAGTGCTCATATTGCAATTTTTGCTGTTATCAAATGTTTTTACCAGAGCTCATATTGTAATCTTTGTTGTTATTATCGCTTTTCTCTGGCACTCCTTATTACGAGTTCCCATATTGTATTCATTTCCATGCTTGATTGGCTCAGGAAATTTTTGTAGCCTAACATATGTGCTGATTCCTTAAGTTTATGAATTTTCCAATGGTGTTCCTTGTCTATGATCTCAACATGATCCCACAGAGGGCAATGATCTCTCTTCTCTCTCCATATGTGGTCAGCCATGCCTGATTTTTCCACTTGCCCTCGTGTTACAGCTTTCTGGTGTTCTTGAAGGCTTACCTTGAGGGGGCGGCCTGTCTCCCCTTTATATTTCTTTCCGCAGTTGCACAGGATAGCATACACACAGTCTTTAGTAATGTTCTCCTCTATGGGGGGAGTCTTACTCGAGAGAGATATCTGCGAAGTGTTGTCAAGCTTTTGACGGTTGTCCTGATGTTATATGGACCGCAGATCCTTTGTATTTTCTCTGATAAAAAAATTGTATGGATTATTTTATTAAATCTAAAGTATTTAATATTAATATACTCATTTCCAGTCTGTGTAAACTTTCTACAGTTTAAGTGTTTTATGCGAGACACGGATATTTAAATTTGAAATGTAACGTTTTCCAAAAATGTCATTGGTCTAGACAAAACTATTGTCTGTGTTAATGACCCTATTCACCTCCTGATGATGACCAGGACAGGCCTAATGGTTTTCTGTGATACTAAAGAATGGGCTCTATATTTATATACATTCACACATACACACACACACACACACACACACACACACACACATATATATATATATATATTTTCTTTTGTCTTTATTCATATTGTCTATTTACAGATATACTCTATCTTAAATTTTTATACACACACAAACATAATATATATATATATATATATTATTTACAGATATACTCTATCTTAAATTTTTGTACACACACAAACATATATATATTACAGAAATAAAATATATATATATTACAGAATGAAGCTTAATATTACTAGACATTTTAAATGCGAAGCAACCGGTTTCGCTCCCGCTCTTCAGGCTTCCACGGGAGATTAAACTTAAATTAAAAACACTAGAAAAGGTGCAATGAGAAGGAAAAGGGGGGACAAAAATGAACACAGGAAAGGCTTGCGGGACCCGATAGAGCGGAGGCAATTTATATCCGGTCCTGCACTTTATATATAGTCCCGCAAGTATATATATATATATATATATACACTTTATTTTAGGATCAAAAAACATCAAAAACATGTCAAAATCGCTACACAGTTGAAATGCTTCTTCTTATCAGGCGATTGTAAATTATTGTTTACTCGCCAGTAATGTACAATCGCCTGATGAGATCCATTGACACGCATCGAAACACGACTGCAATTGTATAGCGATTTTGACATGTTTTTGATGTAATATCCTATAATAAAGAATATTTCACTACTTTGTATTGAACCCCATTCTAAATTAAATGTTACGAACGTTAGAATTGTACTCTATTCGTTCTCATCTTACCTGATACATACATATATATATATATATATATATATATATATATATATATATATATATATATATATATGCATGTATGTATTGTGAGACAGGAAACTACCTACACAATAGACTCTTCCAGGCCTATATTAAGTAGGCGACATAGCACTCTAGAGAGTGATAGAGAATGACACAGAGAGACAGTGAGAGTCTAGTACGACTACCAGTATTGGACACTAACATATAGTAAGCTCCGCTTACACTATCTCTGTAACCTGTTGTTAATATATCTTTCTTACATCTAATCTGTGTTCCGTGTTTTACTTCTGTGGTCCCAACTTTGGCTCCACATCAGTATGCATATAAAGTTGCAGCCTCTGTCTGTTTCTTTCTTATCCAAATCCTCTTAGGGTTTCGGAGATAGACCCCCATAACCATATATATTATGAAATCTAACTCAGGTTACTTGGCTAAGTATATTTCATTTTGATCAAAGAGGGCGCCCTTCACAAGTCACCCACTAATTTTTCCCTTTGATTTCAATTAAATTTTAATTTGAACACTAGATCTGACGAGCATCAACCCTCTCAGTCACGAAGAACCTTTGTGAAATCCTTCTCCTCATAGATTCGACAAATATAATGTCTGCTCAGTTTTGTATGATAACGCAATCAAAGCAATTTCTAAAGAAGTAATGCATTTATTATTTATTAATCTGAGAGATTTTATCACTTTAAACGATATTTTTTAGTGGATACTTAAGTTTGAGTAGACGCTGTATTAAACAGTATATTTATTTCTTTTCGTCCATTGGCCTGAATATTTGAGAAATCTTATTAAAGAAAAATACGCCCTCTTCGGTAGGATTCGAACCTCCTTACACCACATGATTAGTCGGAACCGTCGTTGATAAAATATGTCAGAACTGTGACTCTGACTCTTTTTCTTTCTTTCTCTCTCTCTCTCTCTCTCTCTCTCTATATATATATATATATATATATATATATATATATATATATATATATATATATATATATATATTTCATTAAAACGACAGACAAGGTTTTAGGGTTAAGCTTTTCATTTAATTTTTCTTGTGTCCGAACAAAAGCGGTCTTTTCTGGACAAAGGGTGTGTAAGAACTGTCCAAATGTTTTATATTTCCAAGCGCTTTCGGCTATGCCTCTAGCCATTATCAAGGATGATTCGATTTTTCAACTTAGTTGAGTGTGTGCGTTCTGTGTATGTATCAGTGTGTGGTAGGGATGTTTTTCATTTCCGAATACGGTTAGCACATTGTGGTCTTGTTCGTAGTTAATATTGTTAAGAGTTGGCTTTTTCTTTTTTATTATTAAAGCTTCCATTATTTTTTATCTTTTTTTGCAGGTGGATGCAGTTAATATATTTGTGTTTCCTACCACTATGTTCCTAATGTAGTCTGGTAAATTTGTGTGTGTCATTAAATAGGTTCTAATATGTATCTACTGTCTAATAAATTAACGAGTATCCACAAAAAATAAACGAGTAATCCACTAAAAATAACGCTTCAAGCGAATATATATATATATATATATATATATATATATATATATATATATATATATATATATATTTGAATAAAAACAGACCACTTTAAGGTTCCATGTAAATTTATTCAAATTTATTTGCTCTGAATTTAAATTGAGCTCTCTGGATATCATCCTCCTTGGGTCTACACATACAGATTACCTAGTTTTGCATAAACTATATATATATATATTCGCTCGAAGCGTTATTTTTAGTGGATTATTTTAGTTTCCATTTTTGAAACATTGTTATTATTGTGTAGTGAAAAACGATATTTTAAATCAGTTAATTTATAATATTTATGCTCTGCTAATACCCTTGGGAAAGGTATGAAACCTCTTCTTCTCCATCCAGCTATGGGTAAATAGCAGGACAGACTGTGTTCTATAGCCTTGGATGGCAACTGGTCTAGTAGAAGGACAACTCTGAATTCAAAACCTGCGGAGGGTCGTTTGGGGACCTTGTGGCACTTAGTGCACCAGGTCTCTGTATTCGTCCCTTCAAAAAGTGTGGATGGTCCTGCACGAAACCTTCACCACTATAATCAAATCTCATGTGCCGTTGTCGGGCTCTCAGTTTCCTGGGAACTGATCTGCTTGACCCTCATACGTCGAATTCGACAGGAGATTTATATATATATATATATATATATATATATATATATATATATATATATATATATAAATTTATTTATATGTATTTATTTATTTATTTTCGTGTACCGGCCTGAATTCGAGAAATCTTATTAAAGTAAAATCTACACGTTCTGACATATATATATATATATATATGAAGGAATATAGTTTTAAGGTGTGCTATATTTATGGGATAAAGTGGTCAGAGGCAACAGGCTGTTTCATGCTAGACGCAATCGTCACCCTGCGTGTAGCATGATATATATATATATATGTGGCGGGGGAGAGGAGTAGTTATAGGAAAGTGATTGTCTGTTTCATGCTTTTAGCGATTTTCAGATCTCTTTCTCTTCTCTCTCTTTTTCTCCCTATATATATATATATATATATATATATATTTCTGTGTGTGTGTGTGAGTGTGTGAATAGAATAGAGACCTTATATTGATTATCTTGTAATAGCTATTAAGGCTATATCATGATAACATTGATCAGTTTATCTTAATTTACTTTTGAGCCTCGTGACCCAACGAAGTCAGGAGGTTCTATTAGACCAGTTACAATGGCGATAAATACATTTGATCGAAAGCGACTCCCGTGTCTCTTAATTGCAAACTTCTTGTAAGTAATGGAACACTGCAGCTCCGGTTCCAAAAGTATTTTGAAGGAAGGACAAAATGGTCGCTTGCGTCGAATGCCGCAAAGAATGATGAAACTTAAGATAAAATTAGTTCTGTGGTTCTCCAGCATGATATACAGACTTAAAAGGAAATTTGGTATGCATGTTAGAAGAATCTAGAAGTTGTATACAGCTCTATAATTTCTAGAAAGTTGATTTAGTACTTTCCTGGTAATCTATGAGATTGGAACATGCTATGACTTGGTGTTTTAATGGAGAAACAATTCTGGACGAGTTAAGCATAATAGAGCAATCTATCTTTTCTTTTTAACTACATCAATGACAAAAAAGTTAAACATAGCTCAGGAAACTGAGGAAGCATGTTGATATTTTCTGTCTGTGGCAGCAGATATGGTGAATATGAATTCGAGAACAAACCACGCTATGTCAATGTCATTTTTAGATACATATATACGTGGGAAAGTAAAATATTATACATATATACATGCACACACACACACACACACATTTTAATTTTAATTTTCTTAAAATTACAATTTGAGTATTTAGTACATTACTGTTATCAGCTTTTTAAAACATTGTTGCTGTACTGATAATTAACTTCATTTGGTGTTGGTTGTATTTGTAGCCTGGTTGTATTTTTCTTATATAGAGGGCTTCAAGAATTTGAAGGTTTTGATTTTTATTTTCATGGTGGAGTTTACTTGTATTGTCAATTTATATTCTCTAAATTGTGAAAGTGGACAGAAATGTTCCTCCAATTTCATTAACAGGCCCCATAATTTAGCTCTTGAAAATATATTTTCAATAGAGCACTTCTGAACGACAAGCTAAATCTAAAAACGACAACCACCTGCGTTAATGCGAAGCTCTTCAGTAAAATGAATAGAGCACTCCGGTTGTTGGGCAGTTGTTTACATTTGTAAAAACAATACGTTAGATTTGGTTGGGTCATTCTGTCGAGTAAAGATCATTCAGAGGTAGGAAATCTGACTGACACCAAATCGTTTGGGGCATTCAGATGTCTAGTCGCACTAAAGAGCTGTGATACAGCGAAACAGTACCGTCTACGAATGACATATATATATATATATATATATATATATATATATATATATATATATATATATATATATATATATATATTGAGACCTGATGAAGTGGCATTTGAATATTTATCTTAGTATAAATCATACGAGATTTATTTATGTTTTGGTGTTATTTCTGTTTTTGTATTGAATATTTTAATTTCAGTTAAGTTTTTGAAAAATTTCATATTTATTTAAAATTTGTTTGTTACTATTATTTAATTAATTAATATATTTATATATTATTTATTTTTTTATATAAAATTATCTATTGATTCTAAAGTTATCTTTTAATTTTTTTATTCTTGAGGCACTTGTAATTCATTTTTCATATTTTAAGGTTCTTTTTATATTATATTACAAATTAAATTTCAAATATATATATATATATATATATATATATATATATATATATATATATTTTTCTTGTGGATGGTTATTAATTCATATAAATTTAATTTGATATATGTTAATTTCGATGTGTTCATCCTATGATTTTTATATCCCAACCTTTATATTAATTTTTTTATATTTCCCCTAATATTCTTTTCTGATATATTAATTTAATATTCTTTATTTCTGAATTATATCCCTTTCATATTTTGGGGTTTATCTCTTATTATTTTATATAATATTTGTTTTTTTGTTTTTTCGTTAATTTCTGGAGGTTCATTTGATCTATCTACTGTCTGCTTTCTACTGTGTATATTAAATAGGTTATCTTTTTCTCTCCTTTCCTTCTATTTCTCTCTTCCTTTCCCCTCTGACCACCACTCATATCAAGACTTACACCACTTCCTGTTTCTTTTACCACCTTCACTTCCTTTCTATTTTTCATCTTCTTTCTTCCCTGTTTTTTCCTCCCCCTTGTGTATGTGTGGTTTTTTTTTTATTTAAAACATTTATCATCCATTGACTGTTTGAAAAATCCTGTAAATTTAATTTTACAAGATGAAAATGATCCTTTACATATTGGTATCTTAATTCCGATTGTATGATTTATATATATGTATATATATATATATATATATATATATATATTAAGAAATGGACAAAGTCCGACAATTTATTTATTAAAGACATTTTTATGTTTAACGTTCTTTTTATAGATACAAACCTAAATAAATGCTATGTTTATAATAAACAGTAAAATAACATTTAAATGTCCGAGAACATTCAGGGATTAAATATTTAATACTGTTTATTATAAACAGAGCATTTATTAAATATTTGTATCTATAAAAAGAACGTTAAACATAAAATGTCTTTAATAAAATATATATATATATATATATATATATATATATATATATAGTTAAATTCCCAGATCAATTCTGTGGACAAGACAGATTGGTATAAAATGACAATTGAAAAAGTCGGAAGACGAAACGCGTCGGCAAAATCTAAGATTTTTTTTCAATTGTCATTTTATACCATATATATATATATATATATGCCATGTCTCTTCAGGAGGTAGGCGATCATGGCCCTCAACTTCCTTCTATCACTTGTTGTTCTCAATAAGTTTTGTCTTTTTACTACCTCTCCCACAACCAGTTCTACCATCCACTTGCTTAAGGCCGCTAAGTATGTCATGCGTTGCTTTCCCTTGCCTCTCTTTCTCTCTACTTTCCCTGTGCCTATCAGATTTTCCAAGCCCTCTTTTCTCATTACGTGTCCCATTATTTTCAGCTACCTGTCCCTGATGTTAAGTATACATTTCCTCGTTGCATCCACTCCAAAACCTCATCGTTGCTCACATGTTTAGTCCATTAGCATCCTTCTGTAGAACCATAGCTCTGTTACCTTGAATCTCTTCTCCATCTTTGAGGAAACCGTCCAACATTCGCTGCCGTAAAGGAGGACAGATATCACGTAGCAGTTCAGTACTCTTTTCAATGTTACCAACGAAACACTCCTGTCTCGTAATACTCTGCCTGGCCATCCCAATACGTCTTCGGATCTCAGCGTCGCACTTACCGTCCTCTGTAGAAACAATTCCTAGATATTTAAATTTCCGCACCTGCTTGATTTTAGTGTCCACTGTCTGTAGATCACATTTCGGGCTCATGTTTTTTAAGATAACCATGCATTTTGTTTTCTTGTAGTTTATACTTAGTCCCTTCTTCTCGCTCTCCTTCACTACATTCTGTAGAAGGTTTTTTAGTTTCATTTCTGTGTCATTTGCGTATCTTGTGTTGTTAAGATTGTGACCGCCATTGATGAATCCTGGTAGAATTTCCAGTTCTCTCACAATTGCTTCGCTGTATCGGTTGAATAAGTCTGGTGAGAAGACACATCCTTGCCTTACGCCCGTTTCTATATTTGCATATCTCCTGAACTCATTTGTTATCTTTATGCAGGCTGTTTGCTGCCTGTATAGGTTCTTGATTACTCTAATGTCTTTCCCAAATATATCAAGCTTGCTGAGCAGTTCCAGCAGATCTTTGTCGAACGCCTTTGCGTAGTGTATAAAACACAGGTGCACATCCTTCTGCATCTGTATTGCTCTTTCTAATAACATTCTGAGCATGAATATTGCGTTCCTTGTTCTGGCGTCTTTAACGAACCCGCACTGTTCTTGTCCTATCACAGGCCTAATTTTGCTGCGCGCTATAATCATCAGAATTCGGATGATGAGTTTTGTTATGTCGCTCATTGGGCCGATTGTTCAGTGGAGTTCACATTCATTTGCTCCTGGTTTTTCAGGCAGTGCTATGAAAATAAATCTGCTGAGATCTTCCGGTATATCCCCATTGCTGTAGATTTTATTTATTATTTCTGTAATCATGTCTATGCCAAAGTCATCTAAGGTTGTCAATATCTTTGTTACAATTCCGTCTGGACCTGCCGCTTTGTTTCTGTTCAATTTGGCCACTACTGTTTCTACTTCGGTTTGTAGAATTTCAGACCCATAAGTAGTTCTGTGTATTGCCAGTTGTTGTCTTTCGTCGTGGAAGGGTTTTCTAAAGGGGTTCCATCGCCGAAGAAATTTTCCCTTTTCTAATATGAGAGTTCCATTCTTGGATTTTATGCAGCCTGTTGACAAGCATGTCTTCTGTCCAGTTAGTTATCTTATTTGTTTATGCATATCTCCTTTGTCTGTGGTACTCAATCTTGCTATTTCTGTAAAATCATCGTCCAGTCACTTTTCTTCAGCCTGCCTGCATTTGGTTCTTATTTCATTGTGCATTTTTCTGTATTCCATTTCATATCTTGACAGAGTTTTCTGTTTCCTCCACATCATGTTGAAAATCCCATCAGTCATCCATTCATTTTTCCTTCTTCGTCCATTCTCCTTTGAGATGATATCATTTGCTGATGTCACTAAAGCTTCTCTTAGTGTGTCCCATTTCGAGTTACCAATTCCATTTTTTCCATCGTATCTTCTTTTCACACTGTCCATAGAATTTTTCTTTCAGGTGCGGGTCGCTCAGGAGTTTGTTGTATTTCAGTCTGGAGGCTGCGTTAAGCTTCTTCAGTTTCCATAGTTTCACTATTAGTTTACATATAACAGGACGATGATTGCTTCCGCCGTCGGCACTTGGGTAGGTTTTGCAGTGAACTATTGCATTCCTGAATCATTTGTTAATAGTTATGTTGTTAATTTGGTTTTTAGTTTCGCCTCCTGGGCCTCTCCATGTCCATAATTGGTTCTTATTTCATGGTGTAGTTTTCTGTATTCCATTTAATATCTTGGCAAAATTTTCTGTCTCCTTTGCATCATGTCGAGAATCTCCCCAGTCACCCAAGCATTTTTTTCCATTCTCCTTTGGTATGACATTGTTTGCTGATGTCAGTAAAATGTCTTTTCCCATTTCGAGTTTCCATTGTGTCCCTCGTATCTTCTTTTCACACTGTCCATAGAATTTTTCTTTCAGGTACGGGTCGCTCGGGAGTTTGTTGTATTTCAGTCTGGAGGCTGCATTAAGCTTCTTCAGTTTCCGTAGTTTCACTCTCCGTTTACATATAACAGGACGATGATCGCTTCCCCCAGTAGGCACTTGGGTAGGTTTTGCAGT